CTAAGCATTCCGGACCGGAAGCGAGTGCTCACCAAATTGAGTGGCGGTCAGCAGCGGCTCATCTCAATGGCGGTCACAATGATTCACAGCCCGAGACTTCTGATTCTGGACGAGCCCACAGTTGGCGTCGATTCGCTGATTCGGTGCCGCATTTGGACATATTTGGAGAATATATCCAAAAATGACGGTAAAATTTTGCACATTTTAACATTAATTAGACTAACATTTAATATGACACCGAGTGGTCATTAATTGCATCCCTTTTGGACACAGGAGTGACAATAATAGTGACCACGCATTACATTGAAGAGGCCAAGAGTGCTGCATATGTGGGCTTTGTTAGCAATGGTTATCTATTGTCACAGTCGACGCCCCAACAGCTCCTCAATCAATATCGGGTGAAGACTTTGGAAGAGGTCTACTATAAGCTGGCGATCATAAGGCGTCGCTCCAGACGTATGTCACTCAACCCATTGCTCTTCAATGACGCGAAGGACGCCCAGGAGGTCGAGACCGAGAACCAAAAGTTTGACTACAGGGGCCGTAACGACGGCTTTATAAACATAGGTCGGATGTCAGCCCTCTTGTGGAGAAATTATATCAAACTGACCCGAAATCCACTGATGGTTATCTGCTTTTACGCCTTATCAGCACTTATAGTCACATTGATGTCACTTGTCTTCACTCAGGTATACAATAAGTAATTAATATAAGTGTAAAACACAATGAGTTTTTGTTTTTGGCCAGAATTTTGAAAACATTCCGATCGCCATATATAACGGCGAGAGACCCCCGGAGTTGAGCGAACTGTTCCTGAAGCACATCGACGACCGCAAAATTCAGGCCACACTTTACGACAGTTACGAGAGAGCCGTCCAATCGGTGATCGACGGCCAGAATCTAATGTCATTGGATTTTTCGGCCAATTTTTCGGCCGGAGTTGAGGAGCGCTTTCAATCGCCGCAAGACGTGTCCGAACAGGCGATCCTCGATAGCCAAGTGAAGATTACTGTCGACATGTCCCGACCCATTGTGGCCGGAGTTACCGATTTGGCACTTTTGAGGACATTAAACGCTTTCATTAAGGAGTACAGTGTGTCCCTCGACTACAACCCGTTATCATTTTCGATGCCGTTTGATTTAAACGCCTCTTACTATTCGTTTAAGCCATCGTTTAAAGTAAAAATAAATTACTTTAAATTATCGGTCATTAAAAGCACTGCTTATGTTTATTTATTTGCAGGATTTTATACGGGGCCCTTACGACAACCGGTATGTCATGCCGGATTTGTACCATAATTGCCCCAAACATAAGTAAATGCTCGCTGCCCCGCCAACAGACCTCGCCACAAAGCATTTGCCACACTTTGGAAAACTTTTCATATTGGTTCAGGTGCTGTGGTTTACGGCTGTGCTCACAGTACAGGCTATTTTGGTACTGTTTCTGGCATTTGCTGTCTTTGACATTACTTTGATGGGCAGCGCATTGGATGTGCTCTTAATGCTCATCGTTCAGGGCATGCATGGGATGGTCTTCGGTATGATCTTATCGCTCGCCGTATCCAACGATTACAACGTTATCGTCAGTCTGACATTACTTTGATGGGCAGCGCATTGGATGTGCTCTTAATGCTCATCGTTCAGGGCATGCATGGGATGGTCTTCGGTATGATCTTATCGCTCGCCGTATCCAACGATTACAACGTTATCGTCAGTCCCTTAATAGACATTATTTAGTAAACAATTAATTGAGTTAAGCTTTTATTTCTATTGAATGCAAATCAGATGGTGATGGCACTGACCACTTTGCCCTTATGGATGGTGTCGGGCCTTTTATGGCCGTTAGAGTCGCTGAGTGACCTTGGTCAGACTGTTTGCCGATACTTGCCCCTTACATTGCCTATTGAATCATTACGATCAATGATGTTGCGCGGACTGACCATTGTTTATCCAAAAGTGTTTGTCGGCTACTTGGTCAATTTTGCTTATATATTGGTCCTATTATTATCATGCTTGATTTGTTTAAAACGTTATCGTTAAATGTATATACAATTTAGACATTTTTATTAATAAAGAAATAACGCAATTAAAAATTATGTTTTTTTTTTAATTTTATCAAGTTATTCAATCAAATATTACAGGCTAAAATCAAAAGTGTAACTTTGAAAAAAAATTATACAGTTGTGCACATTGAGTTAATTTATAAACATTTTTATTTAAATTATTCAATACTATCTTTACATTAAGTTATGTTATAATATGAATAAGTAAATACAATAAAATAAATTATTTTTAGAATGCCATAAATTTAGAATTTAATTAATCATTAAATTTCTAATGCTCTGCAAAATTATATTTTAAAATCAGAGCAAATTATTACAAAATACATAAATAGTGAAAAAATACAATTCAATTGCCGATTACTGGCACTAAAACATAGAGTCAACGTTTTTGACCTGTCTGTTAAAATAGCGCACATATCGATAGGTCTTCAAGTGCTGGATCAGTCTCTCTTTGGCATTGCCATCACCGGTGGCCGAGTTGAGCACAATACGACCATGGGCTATTAGGGCCCGAAGCCGGGCCAACGGAGAGCACAGCAATGAACGCAACATTTCTGGACAGTAGGCCTTGTGCTCGACTAATACAGTGTATACTACGAGACAATAGTTTAGTGTCCACAGAACCAGTAGTTGTATGTTATCTAACATTTTATTACAAAGTTGTTATTTCTACAAATAATATTTGTTTTATTACAATAATTATTAGAATTTTACGTAATCACTGATCGTTGCTAACCTGTTTTTTGGTACATGGCCTAAGCAACTTTTACATTTACTTTATTTAGAGTAATCTACTGTATATTGTAAAATAAATTTATAATTTAATAATTAACATGAATTAACCACCTATTGTTGGTTTACGTCAAATGATTATATAATTTAATGCTTAATTGTCCTGGTGAATTTACCAATTGCGTATTTGTGCAGATGCTAAGGTGATTCATTTATAATTAGTCTACAATTATACCAAATGTGATTAAAATAACAATACAAAACAAAATAATTGTTTTTAGTATTCAATGATTGATTGATGTTTATTTTTAAATGTAATTTAAATAGATTTTGATTTATTATCGTATGATTTAATATAAAACATGAAAAACATGTAAAAGAAGAAGAATGGTTGAATGGGGACAATATACATGATCATTTTGGGATAATCAGATAGATCTTTAAATATGACACTATATAAAACATAGATTACAAATCCAATGAATTGGATTATCTGTAATCGTGTGATATATCTCTTCCACCATAAATAGGGCTGTATTTTGGGTCCAAATGCCGACAACAGGTAATAGCTATACATAATTGTATGAATGATTGAATTTAAAAAGCAAAACACTTCGACGACAACTGTTTGCGGACAGTAAACGATCGTTAAATACCCCATAACTGGCACTGAAATAGTTTTATATTTATTAATTAATTATTAATAAAATGTTAATTATTCAAGTAGTTATTAATGTGTATATTTTAGACCATATATAAGATAGATCATATGTATACAATTCTCTACTATTAATTATGATTTTAATACTAATAATAAAATATAGTTATAAACAGAATTGTTATGAAATACCCATAAAATGATGGTAAACATGAAGGAAAGAGACTTGATTAGACTTTTTTCTCAACACAAATATTACGGTATCCAATAAATCAAACAGTTTTGTATAAAAGTAGATAATTTTATGGTGCAAAAAGTCATCATGGTTCTCTACCCAGCGGTTCAGTTCTGTCAACTTTGGGTCAAGCGATTTGCGACCGAACTCAAGCCATTTGATTGATATGTACGTAAAGTATACGTTAATTACAACTAACATAAAGTTATACAATATCATTAATGTTCGCAATTCCATTGGTTTCTTATGTTTCATAAATTTTGGTCCCAGTTTTGTCACAAACAGCAGCCATAACAGCATAATCATCGTAAACTCTATGGGCCCGGCGCTGAACAGAAAGTATTTGGTCACATTTGGGTGCGCTATGCCTATATATTATTGTATTAATGACCATGTGTATAATGTTAATTCTTAAATAATTAAGTTTTGATAATTTAAGAGTTTTTGTTTAACATACCATTCAATATGTTGTGTCCATTATTTCTATAAATAAAAGTTAGACAAATAATTATAAATTAAACTCCATTTTTAGATAACTATAATTGCTACATACATTAACCCAAACATTTTATCCAAATAGCCAAACAAACTTAGACAACAATCAAAAATTTATTATTTATGAAATCTATTTTATAAAATACAGCATTGATTACGTGAAAGTAATCATTAATAAAAACAGATTGTTTTGTATTAATAAATAGAATTACGAAATCAAAACCATGTGTGTTTAAAATTAATTTAAATAATTAAATATTTTAATCTTAATGAAAGTAATAATTTTATAAAATCTAAATTATAGCAAATAATAAAGTTAACTGTTAAATAAATAACTTTAAATATAATTATGGTCCAAAATTACAATTAATCAATTTTTAGAAATAGTTTTAGTCTTTTGTGTGGTTAGGAAATAATAGTAATGCTTCTGATTTTACGTTATGTTAATAAGTAATCAATGTTAATTATGTTGGCCAATTAAACTATTTATTATTTATCTATCAGTTAATTTTATTACAGTGTTTTTCAACTGAATTTTGAGTGAAGTGATTGGGTTTTAGCATTTGGTTCACACAAATGATATATTCATACAACTGATTACATGTTGTCAATGTCTATGTGAGCATAAAGGCAAAGCCTATCTTTTGCCCAGTCCTGATTATAACAAAGAATATTATCATCAAAACAAACAACAAAAATAAAATTGAAAGCTTTCCAAATTACAAGAATAAGGCTAAAATATCAATGAAAATTATTGAAAAATTATATTTATATAATAATACTTTTAAAATTAAATAAATTTTGAAAGCAATTTCTAATCAAATACTTATGAATAATTTTAAGCATCATATTGTGCGCAAACCTTGTTAAAATCTATTTTATAAAATTATTACTTTCATTATAATTATAATTAAAATATTTAGTTACAGTATTTAAATTAATTTTGAGCAAACAAGGTTTAGAAACAGGTTAATTGGTCAACATAATTAACATTGGTTATTTACTAACATAACGTAAAAACACAAGCATTAATATTATTTCCTAACTACCCCAAAAACTAAAATTATTTTTAAAAATTGATTAATTGTAATTTTATACCATAACTACATTTAAAATATTTTTAAAACTAATCAATAATTAAATATCATTTTTAGCGGTAAAGCCGTGCGGATGGCATGTAATCAGATATAATCCGATAGCTATTACGGGCCATAGAATAACATTCATCCGAAGTATACAAATGACCCAAAAAGGCATAAATACTACAAATAAACCGACGATTTGTTCCGAAAGCCGTGATCTGAATGAGTAGTGAATGTCACCACATCTGGTCTGTCGTCTCTTCACGACATCGTTTGACGGCTTTTTCAGATCATAGGCCCAACCGATGGCCGCAAACATGTCTATGAAAGCCGTCGCCGGATTGAACGTATCGATTGCTCCCAACTCTGAGGCCGAGTAATCCCTTTAATAGCGTATTTAAAGATAATTACTATCTATTAATATGTAATAAATAAAAACAATAAATATGAATACATAGGAAACGTGTGGTGATAGTTATGAAAACCTTCGCCCACTAAAAAGTGCCTCATATGCGCTTCGACGGGAACAATGCTCTTATCGTACGGCTTATCATAAAATACAAACATTATTAATAGCAATGAATTTTTAAAAACAAGTCTTGCAAACAAATCTAAAGCATAGCTATTTTTTAGGAAAAACAATTTGCAATTTTATATTTTTATAAAAGTTTAAAGGGAATCTTCTAAATTATTTTATATGGTTAAAACACCAATCATGGTGTATCTTGTGTTAATTCAACGTAGATTTTAAATACCGCATATTTGATATGTGATAGGCTATTACTGGTAGCAGTCTAATAGTACTTTCAGTTAAAGATTGAATTATAAAATTTTTATATATCATGTACATTCGGCATAAACATAACATGAAATTTCATAAAGTTAGTATAATGTAATTTAAATAACAACCATGCAACTACATGAGGGGGAGGGGAGATGTTGCCAACTCCACAGTAAAAATACAATTTTGCCGATGCAATGGAACTGTGGTTTAAAAACAGCGCGATATTGAAGGTTTGTTTTACCTGTAAATGTTTGCATTGATTTAAGTGCTAAGAAATAATAAAATTAAAGTGGTTGCCGCGACCGCTACCCATACCTTCATGCCATACATATGTGCGGCGCTGTTGATGAGAAAAGTGGTGTTGAGAGACACACAATAGCGGAGCATAACGCACACGAACCACGAACTCCACAGCGGTTCGTCCCAAAGCCAGTGCGGTATATAAGCGGGTCCTAAACCCCATATGAAGGCTCCCAACAACAGGTAATACTTCTTCTGGAACTGAAGCAGAGGGTCGCTATCGAGATCACTGACATCTATGGTCTTTCCCTTTTCCTTCACTTCCGGGTGTTTGCGACACATAAGCCAACCGATGTGTGAGAAGAAGAACCCGCGCCGCGAGTTGTGTGGGTCGGCGTCGGTGTCGCTGTATTTGTGGTGCAGGCGATGATCGCGCGCCCACTCGTATGCGGGACTCTGAAAGGCCAGTGTCGACAATACCATTAATATGATCTGAAACGGGAGTTTGGCTTTGAATGAGCGGTGAGACCACAGCCTATGGGCGCCACACTATTGCAACATTGATATTAGATTTAACATATTTTCCATTTTGAATATTTATTTAGTAATATTAAAATTCATACTAAAGTCCCAAACGATGCAAATAATGCCATTAAATCCATGAAAAATATAGTCTTATACTGGACGGCAGTGACCGCCAAATATAAGCCATAAATGCCACATAAATGCACGAAAGGCATCCATATTATGTGGTGATACACCAGCTCTCGCTTATAGATCGGTTTGATTGGTGCGCTCTCACCGTTACTTTGGCCGTTATGACCAGTTTTGGCCGATCCGTTGCTCACCTCTGTCTTCATTTTTGTTTAATGAATTTATTAAAACTAATGACAATATCTGTTTGAAAATTATAAATTACTTTTGTTATATTAAATTTATTATTTAGACCCCAATTCAACATCATAATTGTGGTGAATAAAATAGACTTTTTACCTCAGAATATTCCCACTTTAATGAGAGATAATATGGGATACATGCTACATGTCGATGGGTATATTTTAATTTTTAGCACGGACAAATATTTTTAAATAGGTAATGTTGCGATCTCTTAAACTAAAGTCACAAACTATTGAACTAAAATTCGACAAATTGTATTGTTTCTTTTTTAAATTAAAGTGGAATTCTGTAATTCGTTTGCAAACCTTGTTTTAAATTTTAAATTTTAATTTATGTTTTGTAAATTCTAATTATAGCCACATAAGTTTGAAGAATATTTTATATGTAGGGTTGACAACTTACTACTCATTTTTCCAACCCTTTTATTTAGTATATTATACACAACTTTATCAATGTATTAAAAACAATAATTTTTAAAATAAATATATATGAGCATAATAAAATATCAAGTTATTGTATTTCAATACATTATTCCGGCAAGAAAGTTCCAAATGAGACATTTTAAGCAGGATCATTAACTTACTAAATAGTGTTTTAAATCTGCTGTACATCTCAAATTTTTAGTATGAACACTTGGCAACTTTAGTTGCATACAAAATGTCATAACTAACTACAAGTGCAACTGACTTGTGAGCATCAAATAGCAATGAGACAGATCTCGGTGACAGTAGATTGACAATACATATGATTTACTTTTGCAATGCAACACACGAGCTTTGCAAGGCTGAGATAGGTGTAAAGGTGAGCAGAGGTGGGCAGAGGTGGGCCAGTGGGTTATAAGTCCACACATTTTAAAGTTTTAATAGTTTATATAACACTTTATATAATAGTTTTAATATTTAGTATGGATTTTGTATCAAAGCATAACTTTAGTTTTATTAAATTGAGCTTTAGTTTAATGTGAGTGCGGAGACAAACACTGGTTTTAACATATCCGCCACACTCTCGCAATGGTGTGGTATCATCGAAGTTACCATTGAGTGATATACTGTAGAGTCTACAGTGTAAAAATAAACAATAAAGCTTTGTTTCGCAACCGCAGAGCAAATGTTGAGCACAAAAGCTAGACCCGCGTTAGACAACAATTATATAACAAATACTTTACATAAAAAATAATTTAATAGTATTAGTACGACAATCATGTTAATTAACACATACAAACACATCCTAAATCATCATAAGAAAAATTTTTTTACATTTATTTGTTACCTTTTTTAAACGTATGGAAACTAACAAACTGTTACCGATTATTAGTTATTGTTTTGGAAGAGTTGCAAACGATTTAATTGTTATTTATTAATTGTAGACATTATCGCCACACAGTATATGGTTCCGCAAAACACGTGAAATAGTTATGGATAAGGTTTGGTACATAACATGAGCAGTTATTTAATATCAAGGTGTCGTTTGTCTGTGATTAATATTAATATTCTATATGTAGTGAATGTAGGAATTTATAATAAGAAGTTACTAAATTTTCATGCATATATTTTTGATTAAATAAATAATGATTTATGAATAAACAAAATTTGCTCTAATAAATCAAAACTTATATGTAATGAAGTTGTTTATTTATTGACATTACCATTGAGATTATGCATTACTAAAAAATTAGAATTAATTAATAATTATTATGCTGTGGTATAGATTGAAAAGCAGCGATTAAAATTTAGATAGTATTGATATAAAACTAGGCAATGATTACAGTTGTAATAACAGTTGAGATCTTTCTTGAAGTTATTATAAATAAATTTATTTAATCAAATGTTATATTTTAAATCACTTATGCCATTCACATTAAAACCCGAGGCTTGTCATAGGATTAGCATTAGTTCAATGGAAACATAATTGGACACAAGGGGCTCACTATGCAATAAATTGGCATAAATTTAATATCATTATCAGTTCCATCGGATTATTATAAATGCTAGATCTCTTAAATAGTAACTTCTTAGGGTAAACAACTAACACAAGGTATGTGTATCATTATGGTGTTGGTTGATTAACAAGGAATTTTCTATTTTTCCTTGGATAAGATATTTTGCATTTATTTAGCAATGTATTTGATTGATTTATAATGGACCCTTACTAATGGTATTGCAAACCAAGTTCTTTCAAAATGATACGGATAATGCTAAACTTGGTGGATAATGTGCAGAGTGATCGGATTTACAATTATCATACTGAATTGTAGTTAAAATGCAATATATTTAAAATTAATAGTTAAGGAAGAATATTTTTGTAAAAGAGAATATCGAATATGAGGAAAATCCCCCTCTGAGAGGTGCCACGACTTTCTCGGTGCCAATCAATAGATCTCATGCTAACTAACAATAGTTATAATTACGTCGACCCGATCCGAGTGGTACATGACCTCCAAATCGGGTCCCGAAGTGACCAATATTTCGGGTGTCGAAAAAGTGTATTATTTTACTTCAAAGCGTGTCATATGATATATCAATGGAAAGGTCTCGTCGAGGTGATCAATATTAGTCATATTTGAACAACGGTAAACTCGATTGAACTGTTTGTAATGGCATAATTTGACCAACAACAGTCATTTCAATGTTAATTACATAGTTATTGTTTATTTAACCGGTATATAAAAATTAATATTACAATGGATTCCAATTTAACTCGAATTCGCCCATGATAATTGTAATTTCTAAAGTGTGTTACAGAATATACAGACAAGGCACCATGCTAAAAGAATTGGTCACAATAATTTATTTCTATAAAAAATATTACAAATTGTTTACACATACATGTATATTACAAATTCAATCATTTTTGTGGGCTATATGTAAAATAATATTACTATTTTATGGTGAGATAATCTACTGCTTCTAGCATTTGTGCATTGGCTACATATCTTGTAACAAAGTGCAGAATTTAATTTCTAATTTCCCATCACTTAAACATGTTGTTTATGGGAAATACTATTTCTAAAAATTAATTATAATTCTATTTGTTTTGTCACTCAATGTAAGAAAACGTTAAAAAGATATTCCAAAATACGTTTATTTTTATTTTTAATAAATCACACGAATTCGTTAACATTTATTCATTTATTGAAAATTTTATATTTTATAACTATAAACAACAATAAAATATAATATTTCATTAATTCAATTTAATTTGTTTTACTTTTATTTCTATAGGATTTGATATAAAATTTAAAAAACATATAAAAGAATACAAATGGTTGTAAAGCTCCCAACCATTTTACTCCTGCAGGATATGCGCTCATATCACCCATTGTCACACTGTATGTGGCGTACACTATAAGTATAGCGAACTGTATTAACTGCAATCGTGTGATATATCTCTTCCACCATAAATAGGGCTGTATTTGGGGTCCAAATGCCGACAACAGGTAATAGCTA